TCCCTTGTTCCCTGCCGTGGCCAGCCCGCCACAGTGCTGCGCCCCCAATTTTGTCATTAAGTGTTTGTCCTACCGCCACCACTTGCCACCACACCAGCTGCTCTGCGGTTCCTCTGAAGGCAGCGAGGCAGCTTTGTTACAAGGTGTGCTGCGGCCGCCCGCAAGCGCACAGTCAGTGAGGCTGAGAGGCTGAAGGCAGCGATTGGGGGTGGCGTGGTAGGTACATTTAGGCTGGGCAGGGAAGGGGCCGGGGTGCTTCCATGACAAGAGGCGTGAGTGCAATGAAATGGGTGGGAGACAGAGGCGCGCATAGGGTTGAGCGTGGCACGTCAGCAGGGCGCCGGCAGGGCACTGCACGACACAAGCGCCGGCTGGCGGCTGGGCTGGGCAGGCACGCGCAGCCGTGGTTGCGCAGCTCGTCAGTCGGGGCCGCCCGGCGGCGGCGGGCTGCTGCCGGTGCTGCCGCCGCCACCGCCGCCGCCGCCGCCCGTGGTCTTGAACGCGCTCTGCAGCGCCGCCTGCGCTGACAGGTACTTGACTGTACCGTTGAGAAGCTCCTGTACCGCCTTCAGCCGCCCCATCGTCGTCTCCTCCTCCAGAAGCGCCTGCTGCTGCAGCAAGGGAGAAATGGGCGGGGGCAGGGGCCAGGAGGCCACGCATCCGAGCCGTCAGTTGAAGAGCAAGTGGCTGCGGACGTGCAGGCACAGCGGGCGGGCCGCTCCGGGCGCCTGCTGGAGGGTGCTGTGGTGCTGCCAAGCCACTGCCCCAGGCACGCAGGCAGGCGGGCGAAATGGGTGTTGGCGGGGCGGACCTGGTAGGGGTTGCCTGCAAACAGGGACGCCACCCAGAAGGACAACTGGCAGGGGGCGAGCTCGCTGAGCTGCTTGGGGTTGGTGATGTCGGCGGGCACAGAGGTGGCCTTCAGCTTCACGCTCAGCGACACCACGCTGCGGAAGAGCTCCGCCACCTCGGCCGCCAGGCTGCGCGCCTGCAGGCAGGCGGGGGCAAAGCAGCCAGAGGGGCGGCAGCCGGTGAGCGGCAGCTGCGCATCCTCGGGGCTGCAGGGGCTGCTGGGTAGCCAAGAGCGCCGTGCCTCACCACACCACCTGCCTGGCCCTCGCCCTCGCCCGGCCCACCAGCTGTGCTGAGGGGGTCGGGGTGCATACACCAGCCGCCAACGATGCCTGCCTCGCGGCCGGAAGCCTGGCCCAGCGGACCACCAGTCCACCACCAGCCCACCACCAGCGCACTACCAGCCTACCCCAGCAAGCCCGCAGGCAGCCATGCGGGCGCCCGCCTCACCTCTGGAGTGTCAGCCCCCGCATCCTGCTCGTCAGGCAGGTACTCCACGCGGCAGATAAGCACCGGCTTCTCCTCCACCACCTCCAGGATCTTGAAGCGCTGGCGCCCCACGTTGTTCACAATCATGCGCCCGTCCTCCAGGTTGGCATGATCCGTGATCTCCAGCAGCGTGCCGATGGAGGCCAGCCCCTGCGAGGAGCGTGGGGTGGGGCAGGGCAGGTTCGGGCAGGCGCGCGCATGGAGGCAGCAGCGGCGCGGCTGGATTGCACGGCAGTGGAGCGAACGTGGTAGAATGCAGGACGGCGCAGGCAGCAAGGGCAGCAGGGGCAGCAGGGGCAGCCGCTCAAGCAGCACGGCCACGGCCCGCCGCCCGGCCCCCAGCCGCCGCCTGGTGCTGCTGCTGGGCGCCTGCCAGCCCCCGGGGCGGCCTGGCTGGCACTTCAACCAGAACATGACCTCGCCTGTAGCCACCGCCTCTTACGGTGGCCCCATGTACACCCACCTGCGACTGCGGGTCGTAGAAGGCCATGCCAAACAGGCGGCTGCCGCACCACGGCTTCTCGGTGTTGACCAGCCCCTCGTCCACGCTGCAGCCAGGAGGGCGGCGCCAGGTCGGCAGGTCGGCAGACGAGGTGGCAGGCAGGCAGGCGGCGGGTGGGCAGTCACGCCTGGTGGTGAGGCTGCCCGGCACGCTGGGAGCGGGCGGCTCAGCACATGTTGGCATGGCTGCCGGCAAAGGGCCTCGCTCACCCCTTGGCGCCCGCCATGAGAGTGCTGAACAGCACGCGATACCTGCAAGCAACCAGATGCGGGGCGGTGTTGGGGGCGACACACAAAGCTCGTGTCGTTCTGTGCAACCTCCAGCCTGCGGGGGCCTCACCGTGCCTCGAAGATCTGGAGCGGCACGTCTGCCGCCGGCAGCGCCACGATGCTGAGAGGGAAGATGGGCAGTGTCTCGCGAGTGCCACCCGCCTGCAGAGAAGTGGGGCGGGCAGGAATGGCAACTCAGCACAACGCCTGGCTAAATCTTTGCCTAGGTCTAGCTCCCACTACTCGCCTTGAGTGCGGCCGCCTGCGCCACCACCGCCAGTGCCCGCTGCCGCCGGCGCTGCCGCGGGGCGGGCGCCCCTCTACTGCTGCTCGCCCCGGGGCCGCTGCATCGCTGCTGCTGCCATGCTGCACGCCGTTGCGGCGCCCGGTGTGTCCTCCCGTGTGGTGGGGCCGTCGCGCAGGTTTGCGGCGTGCAGCACACTCGGCTGGCCGCCTGCCCAAGCATTGATGCAGCTCGTGGAGATGGATGGACGACGGTGGCGGGGTCCAATTGGGGTTTTGGGAAGGGTGTCCGCATGGCAGTGCCAATGGTGGAAGGAGGCCAGCTCCGGCGCAGGCGATCAGCGCCATCATCGCATTTCTCGTGTGTCGGACACCCCCAGACCTGCCGATCAGGCCGTGCAGGGACCAGCGAGCGACCCCCCACCTTAGCCAGCCTCTTCTGCGCTGGGTGCTGGCTTGGCTTTGGCACCACCAGGCCGTTCGGCTACACGTGCCCCTGCCCATCCCGCTGCTCCTGGCCAGGCGGGCAGCCGGCGTGCCTGCCGCAGGCCCCATGCCGCTTGCGTTGCTACAGCAGGGGCTTGCTAGGGCTGCCCCCAGCCTTGCGCAGCGCCGAAGTGCGGCATGCAGCCTAGATGGAGCCCTCACACTAGCGCACCGCGCCCAGAGCGCCCTCGGTGAGCTTGCCGCCGCCAGCTTGAGCGCTGCCGCTCTGCGGCAGGTGCCCGGTCTCGGTTGCTCGTGCTGCGGCAGGGTGCACCCAGGCTTGGTAGGCTGCAGTTCGAAGCAGATGCCGTAGCATTACCGAGCGCCCTGCGGCTTTGCCCATTGTCCGTGCAGGCGCCCCTAGGCTAGCCGCTCGTCCGCACGCGCAGCAGCGGCCGCGGCGCCTGCAGCAGCCCGCCCGCGCGCAGCAGCAGCCGCAGCATGAGCCGCCGGCGTCCGGCGGGAGCGGTCATGATGCGGGGGAGGAGGCGCAGATGGCGAGCAGCGGCAGCGAGGCCGAGGCCGAGCCGGGCACGAGCGGCAGCGGCACGCGGCGGCGGCTCGGAGCGGCAGGCGAGGACCTGGGGCCTGCGGGGCCCCTGCAGCGCGTGCTGCAGCTGCCGCTGGAGGCCGCGGCCTCGCTGAGCAAGGAGGATGCTCACTACCTGGAGAAGCGGGGGCGCAGGCGGTGGTGGCGCAGCGCGCAGTTCCCTAGGGTTCCGGCAGAGTCGGAGGAAGATGGGCGGCCCGAGCTGCAGGTGTGGCGCCTTGCCAGCAGCCGCTGCCGCCGCCGCCGCCGGGCCCATGCGGCTGCTCCTGCTGCCCAGGCGGCAGGGCAGGCACAGGGGGCATGCGCCTTGCCACTCCCGGCTGCGGCGTGCCGACCCTTGTCTGCGGCTGGCTGACCCTCACTCCTCGCTGCTTGTGCTCCCGTGGTGGTTGCAGGTGT